AGATTCATAGAATACTTGATGTTTCACAATATAAAATTGACCAAGTTTATAATGGCACGTCACAAGTAACAAAGTAAGATAAGATTTTTAAAATGTTGGTTAAAGTTCACATCGTTTGAATCTGAAAAAATAAAAAGTGTCACATAAATTAGGACGGATGAAGTATAATAATCAATACCCAAAGGAAGTTGAGTGAAGGACCTAAAACTTAACCCCCGTTTGACATTTATTAATGTTAATAGTTTAACTTTTATGCGTTAAATACCCAAAGGAAGTTGAGTGAAGGACCTAAATTGAACTAAAACTTAACCCGCATTTGACATTTATTAATTTTAAGAGTTTAACTTTTCTGCATTGATATTATTAATAACGTTCCCTATCAAATTACTTAGAAGTTAATCAGAGCTATAGCAAAAGTGAGTTGATTAACTTCAAAACATAATAAATGACCTATTATAATAATTAAATTTACACTCATAGTATATATATAATTTAAATTTCTAGTTTAAATTCTAAATCCTGATATTGCCTTTCTATTAAATTTAATAAAAAGTTCAAGAAAGAAAAGTTAATAATCCTAGTCAAGATCTAATTTCGACCCAAAATTAAAAAAGAAACCCAATTTGAGTTGTTTGCTTGTTGGCTACAACACTTATGCCAAGCGCACTTAAACTATCCATAGTCATCTATTTACGGGCTTGCACTCAACAGTCAATCAATTTATTTTTTCGCTTTTTATCACACGCTTCAATTATTTATTTATATAGTGTGTGAAGTCTAACTAATAAAAAGTGTCTATGAATTGGTTTCAAGAAAGCGGTCACTCAAGGCAGGAATAAAGGCTGTTAAGGATGTACTTGCTTCTTCTTTTTTTTTTTTTCGTCGAGATTGAGTTGATGTTCAATATACCGCTTGTTTAGCCTATGCTTTACAAGGTACATAAAGAACAAGATCGAAAAGAATACATTGAATAGGTATCGGAACACTAAGAAGGAGAGACGCTTTCAGAGGCGAAAGGTCACGGGGGAGATACAGTATGTGATCCATCTTAGATTGTCTTTTTAGCATAGTTTCTTTCACCAACCAATTTCTGGAAAGGGAAAAAACAATCTGATTTGAGCTCACTTTGAGTTGAAGCAATATTCCAGTCAAAAAACAATCATTGGAAATCGTTAATTTCGTTCAGAATAATGACAATATTCCAGTCAAAATAATTCATTAGCACAAACTGATTTTGCTTTGTGTCCGAAACCAACCAAATATTTGACAGATATACTTGAGTAGGACCACATGAAAGTATTAAACCTTACATCATAATTATTTAAATCTGAAGAATTATTCACTTCTTTGATCGATCATTTCAGCAATTTATCTATAAACGTGATATTTTGTACTTCAATATTACACACAAGAGGAGTGATTTGTGTGGTGTCCAATTTTTCACATATACAGATTATAGAAGAACCTAATTCTTTTATGTATTCCTTATACTACTGTTGTGGAATAATAAATACGGAAAGTAAAGAACACAAGTATTTTTACGTGGAAAACACATGGCTCAAAGGGTGAAAAAATCATGACCTACTACCCAGTAGGATTTTTCCCAACACTTCACTAAATCACTGAGCCAAAAACAACATTTACAAAACTCTTTATAAACCTAAGGACTACCTCTAGCCAAGGGCGGATCTATGTAGGGGCTCGAGGGTGGTACGCTACCCGGTCGCTCGAGTAAAATCATATATATGAACTAGTATTTTCCTCAAATTATTGAACATATATAAAGAGTGGCACCCCAAGTAACAAAATGATTGTAGGTGCCATGGTTAAAGTACTTATACTGCACATGAAATACCCAAGATCGAGACTCTATTGAAGTCTTAGTTGTTTTGATGTTATCTTCTTTCTTTATACTCCTTTTAAATTCTTTTAATTTCTTCACCTCTGTTATTTACTCTATTTTGTACAATCTCCTTTTATTATTTATTTAAATTGTAAATTTGCTTCCTTTTTCTTTTTCTAGATCTTCATTTTATTTGAATGTGATTTTAATCATTTTCTCTTTTTATTCATCTAATGTTATTTTATTAATTTTAGAAACTAGAGTGATGCATCAAAGACATAATATTAATCGAGCTATACGTAGATTGAAGTGATGTATTTCCTAATTTAAAATTTATTTTTCTTTATATTTTTTAATCATATTAATCGAATTTGAACCTAGAGAATTAGACCGAATTGGATAGAACTTATTCAATTTTGTGATCACATATTCATTTATGCATAAAACAATCTTTTAAATTGAATTGAATTAATTCAAAATAGACAAAATAGAACCGAATTAATCAAAAATGGATCGAACCGACTAAATGTACACCCAAGTTCAATCTCTTCACTATGGCCGGTTTGCATTAAAAGCAGTTGCACCAGGGACATTCACTGATTTTTTTATAAGCGGTGTCAAAATTTATAAAAGAACGAGAATAATAACTTTAATTATCATACTTCTAGACAAGAAATAACTTTAGTCTATTGGTTTTGTTGAGTCTTAAGTCAGAAAAGTCCTGAATTAAATTCTACTTCATCACAATTTTTAACCGCATAGATTCTCTCAAATATTTGCAAAAAGAAAAAAAGAAGTGCTAGTTGAGGTTTGAACCTCTAACCCCTTAGAGCAAAAATCAAGCAAATAACCAATATAACAAGAGACATATTATGTCAAGTGATGTCATTTTTTCCTACTTATCCGCTTCCTCACAGTATTAATACATATATTTAGCAAAAGCATTCACGAAGCGGTGTCGCCTGACACTGCTTCGATAAATGTGCATTCGCCCCTGAGTGGCACCCGTAACCATCAAATCCTGGATCCGCCTCTGCCTCTAACCCTTTGTGACAACCAGCCTCTAGCTGTTGCGACAACTTCAAGTTAACTCTAACTTGAATACAACACTCAGAGTATCTAGTATAATTACTTCTAGGTAAAGCTGAAAGGTACAGCTCAAAAGCCCTACTACAATGAAACTAGAATAAAAAACACACACTTGGAACTGGTTCTTCTATCTGGTTCATGTAGCTTCAAGTTCGCATACTTGAATCACACAAGAATTACTCGCAAAATACCTTGCTATTTTGCTCTCAACTCACGTTTAACTTCAGCGTTTGTGCGTACTTGTAAAATGAGAACATCATGCAATATATAGAGTTAGCAGAATAGGAAATAACTAGAGTTCTAATGCTTTACTCTTCCTTGGTGGAAGAGTTCTAGTTATCTTCAACTTCTAACTCCTCCCTTATCTAGGATAGAGTTATCTTCGAGTAAGGAGTCCTTCTACTTATCACTTATGCAACCTTTTTGTTCAGAAGATATCAAATATAACCACTTAAGTTTATCTCTTTCACGTGCATGCCTTGTGCTCGAATCTGTCCGTGTCTGTGTACACTCTGTATAGACCTGGTTTATGCTTGAGTTTCTTTGTCAATCATCAAAACAAACTTTAATTAGGCCAACCAATTTCCCATTTTTGATGATGGCAAACTCTGTGCTTTTCATAAGTATAGGACCTGTTTCAACTCAGCTCAATATCAACACAATGTTAGAATATTTTTTATTTTAAAGTCATAAATCACCAAGGACCAGGTTCATTAGGTTATAAACATCACAGTCCAAAGTAAAAAGCACAACGTATCTTCCCCCTTTTGGCATCATCGAAAAGTTGCATAATTATATTAGATAACCAGATTTTAATTAAAATTACTCATGGCCACTAGGGCTACTTCAAATGCAATCATGGAGTCAAGTATCATATATCAATCTAATGCTATTAGCCATCTAAGAAGCATCAACAAATAGTTAGAGCACAAAACCAGTTGATTAACATTGATACTAGTCATCCACAAAGCATAAGAAAAAATAAAGATACTGGATCATGAGAAAAAAGAAACAAAAAGAAATCCCATCCGGGTCACTGGTTTGTCTAACTAGGATAGAAAGGTTACAAGACTGGGAAGGACCAGGTTCTTGATTCTGAAGTAGCCTTAACATATCATGAAGAATGCCTTCATTCTTCTCCTTCTCCTTTGCAAGCTTAGCCCTGAGAGCATACCTCTTAGTTTCTACTTCAGCCAGCCTCTTCTTCAGCCTCTCAATCCTTAGCCCTGTTCTCTTGTACCAAAACTCGCACTCTGCTGTTCATAGGTACCTTCTTGGATGAACCAGATTCTTTGGGAGTAGTGTGGACTTCATAGTCACATGTAGTCAAAGTGTTTGCCCCAAAGTGATCCTTGCTATTACCAACTTCCCATTTCTTAAGGGGTACCTTGAAGTGAGCAAGTACAACCGTGAGAATGAAACCATAGGGTATGGCATGAGTTTTGGTGCCAGTTAGAACCCTATCAAGAAGTTGGATGATAAACCCAGGCTAATTTATTTGCCTCCTACTGTCCAGATATTCCATAAGGACCAGGTCTATGAATGTGACAATGTGCCTTCTTTCCTGCCTGGGTAGCACAACCTTGTTAACAAATTCAAACAGCACTTTATGGGGTGGCTTCATCTCAATTTTGTATACAGCCTTGGCCTCTAGCTCTAACTCATTGTCAGCAAACTTCCTTGTAATGGCAAGGGATGTATCGAGGTTCTCTAGTTTTGGCCATTTGAGCTTTTTGTAATCATTGTACCCTTCAGTAGGTATACTAAAAAACTCTCCCAATTCTTTGTCGTCGAAGCTCACGGTCACTCCCATTACCACACTGGTGACTCTTCCATTTTTGATCTCATAATTTTCCATGAACTCTACAATCTCAGCCCTGGCAAGCCTTCCATTCATCTGAAGGACCATGTCCTTCCAACCCTGCAGTTGGAGTTTTTGCAGCAGCATGACCATGTCTTCCTCCTCCAAGTCCTTGAGGAGTCTACCCGTCAAGATGGTTCCTTACAAACTTCTCCTTCTTGTCTTGTTCTCATAGGTTTCTTCTTTTTCTTATTCTTCACTCTATTCTTACTCCACTACTTTCACTTTTCTAGATTTTATGGCAGACCTGGTTCTTTTCGCCAAGGTAGAAGGTTCTGCAGGCTTTGTCTTTGAAGGGGACTTCTTTTTGAAATTCTTTCTTTTCTTTGTCTTTGGAGTCGCAGCCTCTTCCTCCTCTGCCTTGTCTTCATTACGAAGAACCAGGTCCATCTCCTTAATTTCAACTGCCTTAACTTGCTCAACCACTTTCTTCTTTCCCTTTGCAGTAACTTTTCTTTTACTCTCTTCTAGGGCTTTTTCCAGTTCTGCCTCACTCTGCTTCTTCCGAATCCTTGTAGCTCTTCCTCTTGTAGGAGAAGTCTCTACAGGGATAGAAGAGGCAACCTTTCTCTTCTTGTTTTCCCTAGCAGTTCTAGGGATTTAAACTCCTAAACTCTTCTTCCGTTTAGGATTGTAACTGCCAGGCACTCGTTTCAATAGGTCTTCGAGGGGTTCCTTCACAGATGGAACAGGTTCTTTAACATTCTTCCCTAACCTAACCAACCCCTCAGCAACTTCTTCAGACCCACTACCCTTTTTTTTTTCTCAAACTTTCTTCCTCTCCAGCAGATTCCTCACTCCACACTACCATAGCCCTTGTTTCTTCATTCAAACCAACATGAGTGGGTGTAGATTCAGTCACTCCTTTTTCCATTCCCCTAACATCACCTTGAGAACCTTCACTCTCTTTTTCTTTTTTCTGTTTATTTTTACCACCTAGTATTCCAAATTCAGTTGTTTCAACCCCAACCATAGTTCTTACCAAAATAAACATATTTTCCAGATTTTCAGCAACCTCAGAGATTGTCTCAGATATAATTTTTGGACCAGATGTTACCTGCTCTATTTCAAATGAAACAGTTTCTTCCCCCTCAGTTGCAGACTTAAATGATTCTTCAGATTTCTATCTTCTTCTCTACTTGCTTTTAACTGCTCATTGATTTGTTCTCCTCTAGCGACTACCTTGCAAGCAATCATCTTGAACCTTCCTTTCTTAGATGTGGGTATGTGTGAAGGTGTGATAGATGGCGTGGGTGTAGTTTCCTTGGGTGGTGATGAGGGATTGTCGGAAGGGTTTGCCAATGATGTGTTTGTATGAGTGTTTTAGAAAAGATGAGAGAAGATTGTGACAGTTGTTTGATAGTAGAGTAGTTTAGAAGTGGAGAAATGGGTAAGTCCAAATAAAATTTATAGAGGGAGAGTTTAATTGGGAGTCAGTTTGATAAGACGTGGAAGACTCTCCCTAGAATCTAGGCACTTATTGTATTTTGGGACTCTCTTTGGGTGAAACTGGTTCATTTTGTAACGGATAAGCTCAAGGGAGGTTAGGATTAAATGAGACTCTTTTTTATCATAATCCAAATATAATTATTTCAAAATATGCAGAGTGACACATACGTACCAAGTAATCTTGATGAACTAGGTTCTTCATTGAGAAGTCTCTTGTGTAAGTCTGAATTTCCCAAGAGAATAAAGATAATTGCATTAGATATTAATGAGATATTTTAGCACATGGCACAAGAGTATACTATTAAAAGTATGAGACTGAGCAAAATCTAATCTAATTATGTATAAAATTCACAAATTATCTAACTATTTTTTTGAGTTAGAATTGGTTCCTTTTAGGTAATATTAATCATCCCTAATTCTAACATGTTCCTTTCAAAGTGATATCTACTTAGAGCTTTTGTGAATATGTCATTTATTTGCTTGTCAGTAGCACAAAATTCCAAAGTGATCAAACCCTTTCCATAGTTGTCCCTTAAGAAATGATGCCTAACATCTATGTGCTTAGTTCTTTTGTGATGAACCGGTTATTGGTCATACTAATTGCACTAGTGTTATCACAAAAGATGGGGATACAACCTACATCAATTCCAATATCCATTAATTGTTGTTTGATCCACAACAATTGAGCACAACAAGAGGCAGCAGCAACATACTCAGCTTTAGCAGTAAATAAGGCCACAGAATTTTGCTTTTTGGTGGCCCAAGACACAAGACATGAGCCAAGAAAATATGTCATACCTGAGGTGCTTTTTCTATCAATAAGAAAACCTGCATAATCAGCATCAACATATCCCACTAAGTTGAAATAACTACCTTTTGTATACCATAGACAAAGGTCAGTGGTGTCTTTTAGGTATCTCAAGATCATTTTGACAGCAGTCAAGTGAGACTCCTTTGGATTTGCCTGAAATCTAGCACAAAGTCCTACACTGAAAACAATGTCAGGTCTACTAGCAGTGAGATATAACAAAGAGCCAATCATTCCCCTATATAACTTCTGATCAACAGAAGAACCAGGTTCATCTACATCCAATATTTTGACTGTTGCTATAGCAATATCAATTTATTTGGAATCTTTCATTTTAAACCTTTTAAGCAACCTTTTTACATACTCCTACTAATGGATCATAGTTCCATTTGAATTTTATTTAATTTGTAAGCCTAAAAAAAATTAAGCTCACCCATCATACTCATTTCAAATTCACTCTCCATTAGTTTAGCAAATTCTTTACTTAACTTATCAGTAGTTGCTCCATAGATTATATCATCAACATATATCTGAACTACCAAGAGATCTTTACTTTTTTCTTTCAAGAATAAAGTATTATAAATTTTACCTCTCTTGTAGCCATGCTCAAGCAAGAATTTTGATAAAATATTTCATACCATGCTCTTGGAGCCTGCTTGAGCCCATAAAGTGTCTTGTCAAGCTTGTACACATGATCAGGACATTCCTTTCTTTCAAAGTTCGGAGGTTGTTTGACAAACACTTCCTCCTTTAGATAGCCACTGAGGAAGGCACTCTTGATATCCATCTGATAGAGAGTAAATTACATGTAAGAAGCAAAGGCTATAAGGAGTCTAATTGCTTCCAATCTTGCAACTGGAGCAAAAGTCTCATCATAGTCTATGCCTTCCTCTTGACTATATCCTTGAACCATCAATCTTTCCTTGTTCCTTGTAACTGTTCCATCTTCGTCAAGTTTGTTTCTGAAGACCCATTTTATGCAATTACTGATATGTCCTTGGGTCTTGGTACTAGATGTCAAACTTGACTTCTTTCAAATTGGTTGAGTTCATCTTGCCTTGCATCCTACAAAGCCTCAACTATATTTTTAGGTTCAATAAGAGATAAAAAAGCATCAAAAGCACAAAGATTCTTTAGAGAAGATCTGGTTTTGATTCCAGAGGTTGGATCAGTAATTATGTTCTCAATGGGATAAGAACTTTGATACTTGTAAGGTTTCACAACCAGATGGTTCCCATAGATGTTCCTTCAATGTTTTGTTGCTGAGGAACATGTTCATGGACAGGTTCCCTCGAGGTTTGAAGATCAGTTCCTCTTTGTTCAGTTCCCCCTGTCAGGTTGCCCTGGGTGAAAGGACCTGTTCCATCACATGCTCCACCCTTTGGTGTAGCTTCAGTTTGGGCTATGGTTTCATTTAAGTTACCAGCCCAATTGCTTCCTCATCATGTTCTTGCCTCTTAGAAAGAATGTTAGTTTCATCAAAAATCACATGTATACTTTCTTCTACACACATAGTTCTTTTGTTATAAATTTTATATTTCTTCTACTATGTGAAGAATATCCCAATAATACTCCCTCATCACTTCTGGGATCAAACTTACCTAGGGAATATTTGCTAAAAATGTGCACAAAGCACTTGCATCCAAATGCCCTACGATGGGATATATTTTGCTTTCTCCCTTTAAGTAACTCATAGGGAGTCTTCTCAACAAGAGGTCTATTCATGCTCTTATTTATGATATAGCATGCAGTGTTCACAACTTCTGCCTAGAAACTATGAGGCAGTTTACTAGAAAGAAGCATAGTCTTAGCCATTTCTTCCAATGTCTTATTCTTTCTTTCAACTACTCCATTTTATTGTGGAGTCCTAGGAGCAGAAAAATTATGATTTATGCCACGCTTATCACAAAATTCAGCAAATTTAGCATTCTCAAATTTATTACCATGATCAGACCTAATTGATGCAAGTTGATTACCTAGTTGTTTCTGAGTTTTTCTAACAAAAGAACTGAACATGTCAAATCCTTCATCTTTAGATGTTAAAAATAATGTCCAAGTAAACCTAGAGTAATCATCAACAAGCACCATTACATATTTCTTACCTCCTCTGCTCAATGTTCCCATTGATCCACAAAGATCCATATGGACTAGTTCCATTGTCCTGGTGGTGCTTACCATTTTCTTGTTTTTGAAAGAGGATCTTACTTGCTTCCCCCTTGTACAAGCCTCACAAACTTTATCTTCCTTGAATTTAATGTTAGGCAGCCCTATCACCAAGTCCTTGGAGACTAGTTTGTTGAGTTAACTTAGACTAGCATGTCCAAGTCTCTTGTGCCAAAGGAGGGGATCATTATCCAAAACACTTAAGCAGGTGAGTTCATTATCTGAAAGTGTGGACAGATCCATAACATATATGTTGTTCACTCTTTTTCCATGCAAAACTATCTTGCGAGTGGTAAGATTAATCACAAAGCATTTTGTAGAGGTGAATGCTACCATGTTACCTCTATCACACAGTTATGATACACTTATTAGACTGTACTTCAGTGCATCTATCAAGTAGACATTCTCAATAGAGTGAGAATCAGTCTTACCTACCTTTCCAGCCGCAATGATCTCACATTTCTTCCCATTTCCAAAAGAGATATTACCTCATTTAAGGTCCTCAAGTGAAAGGAATTGGTTCTTGCTTCCTGTCATATGCTTTGAGCAACCACTATCAATGTACCATATTTGGCTGTCTCCCTTCACTTGGACCTGCAAAAGGAAATCATGGGTTAGACTTAGGAACCCAAACTAGTTTGGGTCCCTTTCTACAGGCAAAAGGGTGAATCAAATTATTTTTAGCCCAACTTGACAGACTATTTTTCCCTTGAACAAAATCTTTGTTCTTTTGACTTGCCTTCTCTTTTGCAGTGCATTCACTTTTATAGTGACCGGTGTTACCACAGTGTGTGCAAATATTGTTCTCAGAAAGTGTAAGATACTTGCTTTTGGGATCCCACTTAGGTGCAGGGTTCCCAAAGCCAAGTCCTCTTCTGTTGCTACTATGGTGTTCTTGTAGCCATGAAAGTGCATCATAGGACCTTTTTGTCACGACCCAAAACCTAACCCGTCGTGATGGTACCTATCGTGGTACTAGGCAAACCGACCATTCCAAAACACTTTCAAAATTTAACAGAAATGAATTAAGACATTTAAAATAACCGAAGTTTTTTATAAAACGGGGGTAAAACCCAATTAAAACATAAGTGCGGAAACATAGTCTGACATCAAGGTGTCACTAAGTCACAAGCATCTAACAACCAATATAGAAACATAGTCTACTAGAGTCTGTATCAAATGCCAATACAAGAGAGAAAAGATAATAAGAAATGAGAAACAAGGACTGCGAATGACGACAACTACCTTGTAAGTCTCCGATAATCAGCTCGCGCACAAACTCAGCGACCGCCAGAACTGTACACACCTGGATCTGTACATATAGTGCAGGGTGTAGCATGAGTACAACCAACTCAGCAAGTAACATAATTAAATAAGGAACTGAGAAGCAGTGACGAGCTATAAAAATACAGTTCATTTCAAAAGTTTTCAGTAAAGAGTGAACATGCTTTCAATTCCGGTGGTGTAAGTCAAATCAATTCGAGCTCAAGTAAAACAGATATGAATCTTCTAGAAATTTCACCACAACAACAGATAACAACTAATTGCAACAA